ATCTATCAAGCAAACTAAAACAATCTAATAGCAGTAAAATTTTAACGGTCACGGCAGGACAGTATCCTATAACTAACCCCAGCATTTCTGACATTACTAAGTTCGTGAATATTCAGGTAGGATTTAACTTTATTTTTAACAAATAATTTATAAACCTATATTTTCATACATTTTACTTCCTCAAATTACGCGATGTCCGTTTATATACTAAAGTTGTTCGATCAAACATAACCAGATCACTTAATCATACATAATAGCTTGTTAGCTTGCATTAACCCAATTTATTTAATTTCCTTATAAAAATTTTAGGCATTTTATCTTAATATAGGTAACAAGTATGCGAGTGCTGGAATAAACAATATTCCGAAAATTTTTGATGCTTGGAATAGTTATGTCAGTAAATCAAAGCTCGTTTTGGGAATCGATTTTGGTGGCATTGTCGAAGTTGTTACTTCTAGAAATATTACAGCGGATACCAATAATCAAAACCTTCAGGTTGTGAACCCTAACCCAAATATTCAGTTACCATCTTTTGATGAAAGGATTCAAGATCTGTGCGGAAATTCAACAAATTTTTCTTGGTCATGGAAAAATTTTTCTAAAACATTATTACCTTGTTACACAAGTACTAGTAAAGATCCACAATGGAAATATGGCTTTGATGATAATGCCAAACAGCCATATGCTTATCAACAACAACAACAACCGAACTCTCCTACACAGTTCTATTATGTTTCTTATGAAGATTTTCAATCATTAAAATCCAAAATTGATTATGTCCAGAGTAATGCACTAGGAATTGCAATTTTTGATATAACTAAGGATACAGTCGATGCAAAATTAATGAACTTCATAACAGGGAATCCTAATCAGAATAACCCGAATAACCCTCAGGGACCAAATATACCTACATCAAATCCTAAAACCACATCTCAACCATCTTCGTCCAATGTAGGTGCAATAGTGGGTGGTGTAATAGGCTCTCTTATTTTTGTTAGCGTAATAGTGGCAGCTGGTTATATATTATATCGAAGATATCGACCAGGAAAAGTTGTAACAACTGTCGTGGCAATGTTTGATTATGTGGGAAAAGAAGAAAATGATTTGAGTTTTAAGGCAGGTGATGTAATTGAAGTACTTGAGAGAGGAGATGGACCTAATGATTGGTGGGTGGGTAGATTACATGGCGTTGTAGGTGAATTTCCTGGTAAGTAGATTTATCTGTTTAATCTTCCTTTACATTAATCAAGGAGATGTCATTTTACAAGCAATAGACTTAGTTTCGAGTTTAAATGAATATACATAAAATCAAGTGATAAATAACTCTATATTTTCATTTTCATTAACGAAATTAATCCGATTTTTAGGTAACTATGTGAAGGAAACTAGATCGTAATTTTTACCGTTGGCAATATATATATATATATTCATGTATTATAAATGCTATACGATGTCTAACATAGTATTCATTTCAAGAACTTAGGGGATGGGTTTAAGTTAGGCCATGCAAAGTTAATTACTTGGTTTTCATAGCATAAGATCTTAAAAAACAAGTCCGGTCGTCGGCTTGTTTTATCTAAATAAAAATATTTTTCAATTTTCAAACATTGACCTGCCGGATTAGGAAAACCAATTCATTAATTTTGTTTGGACTTAAATTCATTTGGCGCTTATAAGCTAATATGTACACTATAATAGTTAACCTATATCATTATTTCTATAATTTATAATTGTCTAGGCAACAACAATATGTCATTAATAAAATTTCTTTACTACAAATAAAATTGATTATCTTTTTAACACGTAACCTTAACCATATCGATATCAATTACTATAATGTATAAATAAGATCGCTTATCGAAATTGAAAGTATTTTCGGACAAGGTTTAATCTTCGAAATGCTCGAAAGCCTATGCTTTTTAGAATTATGTAAAATTTTTGCTTTGAATGTTTTCACATTAAATACATTTGAAGGTCTTTTGGGATCACGTTCCAATAAACTCTGATTCGAAATTTTTGATAAATACAAAATTTTATAATCAAGGACTACTACTCTATACATTTTATACTATTTCTTTTAACCAAAAATATAATTCAACTAGTTAGGCACGATATATTTAGTAATATTATGTGATGTTCATTCTGTTCTAAATAAGCTTATTCTGCACAAAATTAGTTATGAACATGTTCATAATTTGTGAAGGTTACTACGAGTAGTACATTTAAATGTTAAAAGAAAATTTTAAAAACTTGTTTCTATTAAATACGGCACTACTAATTAGTTACGATAAATTTGGGCCTCTTGTTTGTAAATTTTATAAAATCAGCCCTAGAGATGGGTTCCTAAATCTTAAACTGTAGGTTAAGGTTAGAGTCTAGGGTTTGAACCTCTAACCTAAACTTGCAGATTAGGGTTTAGTGTTAGCCGCTTAGCTGACTAACTATCCATCTATATTGGGTACCCTTATATTAAGAAATTCCCGGACTGAAGAACAGTTCCGATCTTAGAATTTTTGGACCGGATCCAACAAATTACAAATGTAAGAAAAAAAAACCAAAAATTTACTATGTACAGTCATTGGCAAAAGTAATGTTCAATTTTTTTATTAAATAAAATTAAAATCAAATACATGATTTTTTTCATTTTTACAATATACTATATATATATATTTTTTCCTAGCTAATCAATATTTGTAATGCCCTCTTTTTGCTTCCAATACTGCTTCAATCCTTCCTGGAACTAAGTCTACAGACTCCAAAAAGACTGACATATCTAATTTTGATCACTCTTTTTTTAGGACAATTTTAAGATCATTTATTTCTCTTAGAAAATCTTCTTGATTCTGAATATTATCTTTCAATACTTTTCAAATATTTTTGATTAGATTAAGGTTGAAAGATCTTGCAGGTCAGTTCAATTTAGGGATTTTTTTGTCTTCAAGTCAATCAGATACTTTATGCATTAGTGCATTATCTTACTAAAATATTATTTTTACACCTACTAACAAATAAGATGCTTTAGTCCTTTCATAAAATGATGGTAAATGATCCTTCAAAGTTTAATATATATTTTTTTATTAATTTTTTTTTTAGATTATTTATACTCATCAAAAAAAATAAAGAGACTCTTGATCTTATTAATGAAACAACTTCACATCATTACTGATCATCTACTACTCTTAAAACTCAGGATTAAGCACTCATCTTTATGATTTTTATTTTTGAGATGTTATACTCTAATTTGGCATGATTGTTTACTAAGTTCAATAGATGTTTTATTAGAAAAAATTACATGTTATTAATCATAGATGCTTTTTGATATGTTTTGTTAATACTATTCAAATCATTCCTTTATATTATATTCCTTAAAGAATAATTTTTTTGTTACTATATAAGACTAAATACTAAAACTTTGTAGAACTTAAGAAGCAGTTTTTAAATTATACTCAAGCTTTAAATCATTGACCAGATTATGCAAAGGTTTGCATCTTTTTTTTAGAGTTGCTTTCACTAAATATTTTTTTTTGATCATTGAAGACACAGAGTCTTCTAGACCTTGGCAAATTTGATATATTCTTGATTCTCTAGTACTTGGTAAGAAACCTTCAGATTGTGATAGGATCATGTTCTATTTTTCATACAACTTACTAGATGCTCATATATTCAATATAAATTAAGATTTCTTCTTTGTCTTTGTCTGTCATTGAAATACCAATCATACTTATTATACTCAGGTTTTTTTTTATAGGTAATTTGTGAACAGTCAAAGAAAGAGAAGAAAAAAAAGATGTTTCACAAATTGTTATAAGGAGATAAACAATACATATTTATTTGAACATCAGTCACAGGATTAAAATCAAACATTACTTTTGACAATGACTGTACAACTAAAGTTTTGTAAGTACTGAGCACAGTGCTGTTAAAACAGTACCTGTAATCAGACACCATGTTCAATACTTGTTAACCATAATAACTAGTTTCTGATATCCAAGTTTTTAGCATAAAATTTAAGTTGTAAGATGCAATTTTTAATGTTAAGTTTATAATGAATTTTTGACATACTACAGACCCTTATTTTCAGGTTGGAATTATACCTATCGGCTAAGCCACTAAGCTATTAAACATTTAACGGCTTAGCCTAGCTGTAAAAATTTAATCAGCTTGAAACACTAGACTCCCACCTATATATTGAATCAGCCTTATACGTGATTATTTTCATTGGGCTTTTATTTGTAATTATTTTCATTGTTTGGACCTTACATGTAAATTTCCCTATAAAATTTGTTAATGCAAATGTTTTCACGTTAGGGTAAGTACTTAGGATTTAGGGAAGGGTTTTTAGAGGTAGAACATTTTTACTTAGAACATCCCACACCGATGAATTAACTAGTTTTTAAGATAATGCATTCATCACATTTAGTATAAGTCTATTTACATAATTTTTTTTTATTTGATTTTTTTGTACGTACTTTTTTTTTAGGTTTGAGATTTGTCGGCAAATATAAAGGGGTACTTTGCATTATCGTTATCGTTATACGTACGCATACTGTTCAACCCCAAAAAGGCAATTAGTCAATCGGAGAACGTAAATTGTGTTCGTTCCGACACGTGCGCAAAGCAAAAAAAATGGAAAATGACGAGAATGAAATTTACATATATCGATATACAATGAGTAATAATTTATTCTACTGCTACGTAACTATAACGCCTAATCCCAAATTTCCAATTTCACACGACATAGTTTATTTTTATGTTAAGTTTCCTTTTTTGAGTTCGTATCACTCGCACAAAAAGTATTTCCCTAACTTATCTGTGACACGTACGATAATAGCAAAGAATTATATATAGGATGTTCATTTGGTGATATTTTTAAGAATATATTCATTACGCATTTATACCAATTCTTGACACTGAAATTTTTGTCTTATATACTTTTACGTTGTATTTTTTTATGTTAACTTCATACTCGAAAAACTTTTGACATTATAAAAAACATGAAAGTTCAATCTTTTTTACCATTCTATAAGTTCACATGGCTTTTTTTATATACCTTTTTTATGTTCATATTGAAAAAAGAGGTGATGGGTCAGAATTCATGCAACCTATCACCAACTAAACCAAAAATACTTGTTGGATATTATCCCGCCTATAAACTTAATTTAGCACCGGGTGTAGATTTTGATATCAACCCATCAATTGATTACTTAAATTATATCGGTATGCGAAATTAAAGTCTTAAGTCTATTTATTTAATTATGACTAAGTTTAATAAGCTAATAAGTTATTTAATATTTATATAGCATTTGGCCCGAGTGACCTTGTTAATAATGCCGAAAATAATAATACTGGCGGTGACCCATTTAAAAATTTTAACAGCCAATCTTACAAATTTAATCAACTGTCAAATTATAGGTCAAGCAAGGATCTAAAATTTAAGGTAGATAAAGATTAAATCTACATTAAAAAAGATTTATATAAAATAACAAATTATGATTTTATAGATCATTCTATCAATCCTGTTACCAACTGATAGGGATAATTTAATTAAATTCTTTAATAAACAATCCCAAGATCCAGAGAATGGTTGGTATAATTCGAGTAGCACACAAAATACGAAATTCATTAATGAATTAGTTAACATTGTTACTACTAATAGTTTTGATGGAGTAAGATTAACTAATTTTATTTTATACATACTGTCTACTTGATTATTTGTGCGTTGCCAGTAATTCTTGAATTTCGGATTTTAACGGAATACCTCTGAACAAGCACACAGAATTCTGTGCCAAGTTTTGTCGATCATGATCGACACAATTAAGAACAATTATCAGTGAAACTGCTTCTGGCGCTTTAACAAAAGAAAATCCACTCATAATCTCTAGAAATGTTTTTTAATCCTGACCTAACTCTAAATTAACTCTAAAATCAGCTTAACATAGGCTGATGTCGATTAATATTAGCTAAAATGATTGATAAACCTGGAACAGAATTCTCGAGTGCTTTCGCTAAAATCGATACTAGAATTGATTAGAATTTTCAAGTTCTGTAAGCTGGTATTCTTGAAGTGAAATATTCGAAATAAAGGATTCCTGTTTCCCTTAAGGACATTCATTTATTAACAATTAATTAATTACTCCCTATATATTAACCTGTAGATTGACATTGATTATCCTTTTAAATTTCCGTGCAATCCTTCAACAGGATTCAATGAAACTGATTTTTCAAATTTTCTAAGTGCCATATCAGCACGATTAGGTAATAAAAATTTAACAATTACAGCAGGCCAATATGCTATAAAGGGCATCAACCCAAATATCATTAGTTTTATAAATATTAAGGTAATATTTAACTTCTTTTTTTTATATATAAGTGACATTGTAAACATTTATCTATCCATTTATAAAATCTTAGGCATTTCATCTTAACATAAATAACACGTACGCAAGTGCTGGAATAGACAGAATTTCGGAAATTTTAAATGATTGGAATTTTATAGATCATTCCAAACTCGTTTTAGGCGTTGAATTTGGAGGAATTGTCGAAATTGTTTCTGATAATGATAACAGTATTAAGTCGGACATTGAGAGTAAAAAACTTAAACCAGTAAATGACTCAAATTTTCAGTTTTCTTTTAGTAATGGAAAGATTCCAGATCAATGCGGACATTCATCATATGCATATTGGTCATGGAAAAATTTGATTACTAATTTAGTACCACCTTGTTACACAAGGATCGATGAAAATTCACAGTGGAATTATGGCTTTATTAACGATTCGAAACAACCATATCTCCACCGACAAGATTTGTCTTCACAATACTACTATGTTGCTTTTTATGAAGATTATCAATCATTAAATGCTAAACTCGATTATATAAACAATAAAAATTTAGCAGGAATCGCGATCGCTGATATCACAAAAGATTCATCATTGATAAACTTTATTTTGGGAAATAATCCTGTAGGAAATAAAACTTTGGGTACCCATACACCTTCATCTTCATCATCTTTATCCACATCATCTTCGTCCAATGAAGGTGCAATAGTGGGTGGTGTAATTGGTTCTTTGATTTTTGTTAGCGTATTAGTGGCAGCTGGTTTTATATTATATCGAAGAAGACATACAAATGTTATAACAACTGTCGTAGCAATGTTTGATTATGCAGGAAAAGAAGAAAATGATTTGAGTTTTAAAGCAGGAGATAGAATTGAAGTTCTTGAGAGAGGTGATGGACCTAATGATTGGTGGGTGGGTAGGTTACGTGGCGTTGTAGGTGAATTTCCTGGTAAGTGGGCTTATCTGTTTAATCTTTCTTTACACTATTAAGGAGGTGTCGTCTTTCGAGGTCAAATGACAAATGAATATAAAATTAAGTGGCAACTATATCATTTTATTTTCATTAACGAAATTAATCTGATTCTTTTTTAGGTAACTACGTAAGAGAAATCGGAACATAATTTTAAATTGTTTAAAGCAGAAATATTTTGTTATATTTTCAGGAAATATTCATTATTATAAATGCCATATGGTGTCTAACAGTATTCATTACAATATCGGAAATTTAGAGGATGAGTTTAACATTCATTTGGTGACTGTGTGCTAATATGTATATTATAATAACAATCTTACTATAGTCTATATTATTATTTGATAATTTATAGTTTCCTGGGCAATAGTAACATGTTAATAATTTTTTTTACTAGCACACATCGCAGGTTTACTTGGTGAATGATTTTTGGACGAGTCCAAGAATTATGTATCGAATTTTTTGATGATTTGAATTGATCGTTTAATATCCATAAATTAATTAACCAATCATGAATTATTACTGTGCGTATTTATTTATGTAGTACAAACCCAAAAAGAAAACACGTACGTCTGCGTACCAGGTTTGTGGCGCAGCAAAAAATTCTTTAAAGTTAGGATTAATGTTTGAATAAGTTTAGAGGTTAGGCGATTATAAAGTAAACTCATCAATGCAACCATTTGTTAAGGTGGTTTCTTATACAACGAACGAATTTTCCTGATCTTGAAATCTGATTCGTAGTTTAGACAATATGCGGCTATAGTCGCGCCACAAACCTGGCACACATCTCGGATGTACTAATTAAAGTGACGGGTTACATGCAATGATGGATAATTTATTTCATATCTATATGAGTGAAAACCTGGAAACCAATTTAATGATTTACTATGATCGGTTTCCAGGTTTTCACTCTCACGCACTCATATAGCCTCTAATTCCTAATTCACGTGCCTTAAACTGCCGAATATAAGATTCTCCGTAATAGTAGACCCTTGCCTACTACGTAGAACCAAAAATATGCATGCTCTTTAAAAAATTTTTCTTTTAATGATATAAATTCTCAACCACTTACTATATGTACTATACCCGAGTCTTTTATCCGGCAATTTATGGTATTTCTATGTTAAATTTCCTTGTTTAAAATTTGTATCACTCGCAAATAGACTCCCTAAATGCATTCCCTAAATGCAACATCTCTCTAAAATGCAATCTTTAATTCTGGTCAAATATGTACTAGACTCCTGCAATGAATTTTTTTATTGTTCTTTAAATGCAAGTTGTCAAAAGTTTGACCCCATTAATTACGTCTGACTGTCTAACCTTGTGTTTCATTCCATCTAACTTTTCTGTGACACTACGACATCGATAATGGCAAGAATTAAATATTTATATATTATGCTCATTTGTAGCTTTTTTTGGAGGCTTTTTCTAAGAAAAGTACCTGATATTGAACTCTTTTAATACTGAATTTTTTTTTTTTTTTTGTGTATATTACCCCATATATTCATGTTTAATTTTTTATGTAAACTCTATACTTAAAATTTTTTATGCCATTATAAAAACATGAAAATTCGTTCTTTTTTACCACCTTATAAATTCATGTTACTTTTTTTATGTACCTTTTTTATATTTGTGTCGAGAAAAAAGGTATTAAGTCAGGATCAATGCAACCTATCTCCAACTAAACCAAATAAACTTATCGGATATTATCCCGCTTATAAACTTAATTCAAAACCGGGGGTAGATTTTAATATCAGTCCATCAATTAATTACTTAAACTATATTGGTATGCGAAATTAAAGCTTTAAGTCTATTTATTTAATTATAATTAAGTTTAATAAGTTATTTAATATCTATAGCCTTTGGCCCGAATGACCTTGTTAATAATGGTGCTGATGGAGGCCCATCTAAATTTTTTGACACTTCCAAATTTTTTGAACTGTCAAACTATATACACAGCAATAGTCCAAAGTCTAAGGTAAGTAATGAATGTTAAATATACATTAAAAGGCTTATTATTAGTATACAGTAATTTTAAATTGTTTATTTTATAGATTATTCTATCAGTCCTGTTACCAACTGATAAGAATAATTTAACTCAATTCTTTAATAAACAGTCTGATTTGGATCAGGGTTGGTATAATCCGACTAGCACACAAAATAAGAAACTTATTGGGGACTTAATTACTATTGTTAAAAATTTTAGCTTTGATGGAGTATGATTAACTTATTTATTTTACTGTATATTGTCTACATTGTTATTTGGGTGTCGCCAAACGAAAACCACTAATTGTTGGATTTCGGATTTAACACTTAATGGAGTGTGGCTTATTAATCATATATAGTTACATCATTACATCTTTCATCATATTAAAATCGATGCTATCATTAGATTGGATTTTTTAAAGTCCGGTAAACCTGTATCCTGTGAAGTGGAATATCCGAAAATCAATCCCTGGCGGCACCTATTTATGAAATCACTAATCAATTACTTTCTATTAACTTGTAGATTGACATTGATTATCCCTTTAAATTTCCGTGCTATCCTTCAATAGGATTCAATGATTCGGATTTTCCAAGTTTCCTAAGTGCCATATCAGAACAATTAGACGATGATAAGAGTTTAACGGTTACAGCAGGCCAATATCCTATAAAGGGCTTCAATTTCAGTTATGTCGATTTTGTAAATATTCAGGTAAAATTTGGCTTTTTTTGTTTTCATATGGCAAGTGATATTAAAAATATTTATCTATTTATAAAATTTTAGGCATTTCATCTTAATATAAATAGCGTGAATACAAGTTCTGGATTAGATGGAATCACACAAATTTTGAATTCTTGGAATATTACAGATACAGATAAATCAAAATTTACTTTAGGCATTGAATTTGGAGGAATTGCCGAAATTGTTTCCTCCAAGAATATCACTTATGACATTGAGAGTCAACAATTTCAACTAGTAAATGGCACAAATTTTACTTTCCCTTTTCCCAATGTACCAATTTCAGATCAATGTAATCGTTTTTCATATGCATATTTGTCATGGGAAAATTTAAGTCATTCATTATTATCATCATCCTCCTCTTGTCCTACAATTTTAACTTCATTGTCACCATGGGAGTATGGCTTTGCTAATAGTTCACAACAACCATATCTTTACAAACAAAATTCGTCTAATCAGCCTAGCCTTAATTCGTCTAATTCGTCTTCAACATACTATGTTATTTTCTATGAAGATTATCAATCGTTAAATGCTAAAATCGACTATATAAAAAAACATAGTTTATTCGGGATTGCTATTACAGATATCAGCAAAGATTCACAATTGATAGACTTTGTTTCAGGAAATCGGCAAACTCAGCCTGGAAAAAGTACACCTTCAAGTACCCCACCACCTATACCTTCACCTACATCTTCAGCTAATATAGGTGCAATAGTGGGTGGCGTATTAGGTTCTATTGTTTTTGTTAGCGCATTAATAGCTATTGGCATCATATTGTATCGAAGAAGACACAGTACAGGAAAAGTTGTAGCAAATGTCATAGCAATGTTTGATTATGTGGGAAAAGAAGAAAATGATTTAAGCTTTAAAGCAGGTGATGTTATTGAAGTACTTGAGAAAGGAGATGGGCCTAATGATTGGTGGGTGGGTAGATTACGTGGTGTAGTAGGTGAATTTCCTGGTAAGTGGGTTTATCTGTTTATAATATTAAGGAGGTGTCTGTCTTTCGAGGACAACTATATCATTTTTATTTTCATTAACGAAAAAATTAATCTAATTTTTTTCAGGTAACTATGTAAAAGAAGTCATGTGATTTTATTTATTAATCAAACTTTTTGTATTGTAAATGCTAAACGATAAATATTATATGATGTCAAACATAATATTCATTTGCAATGTCAAAATTTAGATTAGTTTAAAATCTATTTTGCGCCTGTAAGCGAACATGTATATTATAATATTAATATTACTACTGGCTATATTATTATTTCTTATAATTCATAATTACGTATCTGGAAAACAGTAATGTTAATAATAATTTTTTTTGACTGCAGAATAAAATCTGTTATTTTCTTTTAACATGCAACCCTTTATAATTTCTATAATATATAAATATACTTGGCCCTCGTTAATATCAACCTCATGGGTCTAGTACGAAATCCCGACATCCAAAATCTCGACAGGCCATAATACTGACATCACTCGACGTGACAATTAACATTTAAAGATTAGTAATCACATTTAACAATCACTGTCAGACTAAATTTTTAATTTTCATATCGCATGATATCAGTATTATGATTTTGGATGTCGGGGTTTCGTACTAGACCTCAACCTCATTAATATCAACCTAACAATAAATGAATTTCTATATATTAAAAATTCACTCATATGTCAACTTTAGAAGATCCTCATTAATATCGCTATAAAAGTGATCCAAATGGACTTTTACGGCAAAATTCATATTCCAGTAATCGATTAACTGTTCTGAACATCAGGTGAAAAATTGACCGAATGATTGTTGGCCGATTCGATAAGCTTGCGATGCGCAGTAATTAGTATATAAAACGATACATATTTTTTAATTCATAGCGATAATATTTTCAGAGCGATACAACACTACTGATGAAACCCAAACGGTTTCGGCACTTTCAGCACATTTTGATCGATTTTGTCAATATTCAAAAATTATGACATATGTTCTGCAAAATCGAACCGAAGAACCGGAATCGACCCGGGGTCTGTTACGGATCTTTTAAACTATGCACGTTGATTGGCTGTAGTTAGGATCTCTCGTGTTGCGCTTGAAATTCGAATAATAAAATGATTTGCGTATGTACTGTACTTCTCGGGTCTCAACCCGATTTTTTCGGGTCCTTAAAAAACCGTGCGGAACACTAATTAGTCGTATGATACACTAATTAGTCGTATGATGACAAATTTTTCATCAGAGTTAATGTCACTCAAATATTATTGCTATTTGGGACTTTATTATGGCAAAATCCAAAACTAGTTTCGGCAATTTGGCATTTTGGGATTCGGCATTTGACGAAACTATCAGGTTTGGGTTACATCTCTAGTCAACACATTTAAAATTAGGTTTCGCTTAAACGCATGTCCAGTACGTTTGAGAATTTATAGAGATTGTTCTTGTCAACCAATGAATTTAAAATAAAAAACATAAAAAAGGTTCTGAACATAAGATTAGCTTTCATAATAAATACATTACACAAGTAGGCGCTAATAAAAGAATTTATTAACTGGATTAAAGAAATATGGCTCGAATTGTGATTTTATTAACATTTGTCAAAACTATGTTAAACGAAATAAAAGTATAATTTTATTTAAAAGTTTTCAATATACGTAAAATGATAATCTCTGTCTTTATTTCTTTTGCAAGTTTTAAAGTCTATGTTCGATTAAATTTTAATATAAAGTCATAAGTTTCACCTAACCTTAATGAAATTCTGTATTTAAATTTTGACCTGACGCAAATGTTAATTTGACACACAACATACACATTATTGCATGATCGCTCATCACCGAAATCACGAATCGCCAAATAATCATTCGGTTAATTTTTCACGAGTAATACAAATAGTAGTGATGTATGGTTTAGTAAAGTAGTGGAGTATAAATTAGCAAACACGTGAGTATAGATGATTAGGAACCACCCAAAAAATCAGTTATGTACCGGAATTTAAAATTAAACATCGGTACTTAATAACAAATAGCGATGCTAATAGAGATGGTCAAGGTAATTACTTATTACGTAAAAAATCAAATCACATTATGCGACAATTTACTAATAATATATACTTACAACTAATAACATGCTAAATTGGCGCATAGTGTGATTTAACTTTTTACGTAATAAGTAATTACATTGCCCATCTCTAGATGCTAATGACTTATTGATGAAGCAATATACAAATTGCATTTTAATTTATTTACGCTATACATACATATATTGTATGTATGTCATTGTACTATCCTTCTCTTTAATAGCCCAATCGCGTTTAACTATTTTCTTCGTTGAGAAAAAGTTTCCAAATTTTCAATAAACTTCATTGCTTACAAATTATTTTTATTAATATGTAAAAAATATAGTCAACTTTTTCTATAATGAACTGACAGTTCTGGAAGAAAAAAAAGTTTGTTATAGAAAATTATTATGTTTTCTTAAAGAACCATGTATTTCTATATCGAACTATTATGAAATTTTAAAATTCCAAGTTAGTTATATCCAGAGTTCGTACATAGAGATTTATTATATCCAAAGTTGATTGTATAAATAGCTTGTATAATAATGAAATAAATAAGTAGTATCTTCATTAGTATTTCTTTTAATTTAATAGTTTTATCATTTGTAACTTTAACACTACTGGCACTTGAATCATATTCATCCATACTTAAATCTATTTCGGCTTCTTATAATTACAATATTTCACTTCAGGATTAGATAATGCAGTGGGTATATAGTTTGTCGAGGTTCATGAAGAAATGGATGTTTATTATTTTGTTGAACCTTATTAGCATATTGAAAAAAAGAGTTATTCCTAGTGGTGGTACTGTATAACTAAATGTTTGTGAAGAGCAAACCGACTTTTAAAAAATGTACAGACATCAATAACGCCTTTTAAAATCAGATAAAGTAAACCTTTTTTTTCATATATTCGCTTTTTACCTTCTTTACTACATGTTAAACATTCAGAACGAGTTTTTTTTTTCACGAAAAAATTTCTGATTTCTGCTCAATTTGCAATACAAAGGACAAAAGTAAAAAAAAAAAAGTATATAAATTTGGTTGAGTTTAAACCGCAACTTACTGATGGTCGGTCGTCACGTGTGCATAAAAGGAGGGCATGTCCAATTTTTAAATCTTAGTTCGGGAATTAGAAAGAATGGCCTTATAGTTAGTGATTGAACTCGGTGGGTGCTATCCGGGTTGAGTTGTGGCAACCCGGGTGGAAACAGGTGGGTCAACCCACGGGTCACCCGTAAGTCAACTCACAGGTAACCCATTAATATAAGTCTTAATATTGAAAACAGAATAGTAAAGCGAGTAATTTATTGGGAATTTCGGTTTTGTAAATCGTTTCTGGTTTAATTTCCCGAAATCCATTTCTGAAATACCATTTCACCGAAGTCATAATACATTTTACTGGCAAGACAGAAATAGATCAGAGTCATTTCACTGATAGTTTTTTTAAAAAATTGCACTAACCTTAACCCTAATTCTAAATCTGACCCTAACGACAATGACCAGAATTACTTTGTCAATGAAATGAACTTGTTAGTTAATTGATATTCAGTGAAATGACACTGACCTATTTCTGTCCTGTTAGTAAAATAGATTGTCGGCATTACGACTTCGGTGAAATGGTATTTCGGAAAAATGGACTTCGGGAAAGTGAGCAACAACCGTAATAAATACGCAAGTTACCTTTTTATACCTGGGTAATCCAGATGACTTACCCGCGAATGACCTGTAATAAAATTTTTTTTACCACCGGGTGACCCGGGTGGCACTTTTCTGAACGGGTCCAATCACTACTTATAGTAAAATTGCACGAGGAATTTTTTTGTTAGCGTATAATTGAAATTTTTTACGTTGCACATGATCCTGATTTTTAATTGGCTAATTGATTTCGAAACTCAGTGAACAGAAAATCGATCCCTGACCGTTTACCAGTGACTAAGTCATTTAGATTTTTGTCCTAATCACTTAGTCATTCTTTCATGTTATATTTATGTCATGGTCACATAATTACTTAAATTTAAATTATAGCATATTTAAATTAAATGATTAGTCATCCATTGACAAATGACTAATGATTAAGTCACCTAAATCACTATGGTTATCAAAAGTCACTGTCTATCACTGGCGTTTACTATCGCTACAGTGATCTGAACCGAGATAAAATTGTCGGATCAAGTTTAGTAAAAGGGACCTCTACTCTAAATCAATTGATTAGGAATCAATTTTATTGGCGGTCCCTTATATTAAATTTAATCCGGGTCAACTGATTATTTCGGATTAACCGATTTAGCTTTTTTCGGTTCGGTTTGGTTACCCGATTAAGGCTTAACTGGTTCAAACCACAAGTTTCTATTGGCCATCAGTAATGTGACATCAAAACTACCCGTCAAAATTAATTCATAAAATAAAATTTTACTGAAGATTTTTGACTACTTTCTAAGCAAATTCGATAAAAATTTTTTATCCGAATTATACTAATCTGTAGAATTCAATAAAAAAATTTTTATCAAATTTGATCGAGTAGATGCCGAGATATTTTCGATCAAAGCTTTAGAACTTTTTAAAATACCTATATTATACCGGGTGTTTGATAAGTCCCTAAACAGGACCTTTTTTTATCGTTATATCTCCACTAGTACTAGTTTTTTTTTTATTATAGTATAGTAATTTATTTAGTGATTAAAAAAAAGATCCTGTTTAGGGACTTATCAAGCACTCGGTATAGAAACTGTCAAAAGTTTTAACACAAATATTTCGACATTCACTTGACCAGATTCTATGAAATTTTTTTTTTATTTGGATTCTACAGATCTGTGAATCTGAATAAAAAACTTGGTTGAGTAGGTGCCAAGATATCTTCGATCAAAGTTTTGAGAATTTAAAACCGTGCTAAAATTTTTAACACAGCTTTGATCAAAGATATCTTAGCACCCACTTGATCAAATTCTATGAAAATGTTTTTATTCAAATTCTACTGTCCAAAATTCGAATTAAAAAATTTTATTGAAATTGGTTGAGTAGATACCGAGACATCTTCGATCAAAGTTTTGGAAATTTTTAAACCGTATTAGAAATTGCACTAAAATTTTTAACAACTTTGATCAAAAATATCTCAGTACCCACTCAACCAAGCTCTGAAAATTTTTATTTAAATTCTACAGATCTGCAGGATTCGAATAAAAAAAATTTTATAGAATTTGGTTGATTTAAATTTTTTAAATGCCTATAGTGACAGAAAACAAACTTTTTTGAATGAGCCTGTTATTATATGGAAACCGCGCCAAAATTTTAACTTCGATCGAAGATATCTCGGCAACTACTTAACCAGATTCTATGAAATTTTTTCATTCGAATTCTACAGATCTGTAAAATTCGAATAAAAACATTTTGATCAGGTAGTTGCCAAGATATCTTCGATCAAAGTTTGATAACTTTTAAAATGTCTATTATATAAAAACTACCAGAACTTTTAACATGACTTTGATCAAAAATATCTCGGCAAACACTCAATCAAATTCGATAATAAGATATTTTTAATCAAGTCTATATAAAAATTGCACTAAAAGCGATTCTATTTATTTAAACATCATTACAAAATAAGGCCCTAATCATAACCTATTTTAACATTATCATAAACTAAAAAAAAAAGGGAAATTCTATTTTGACCCGGGTCAAAATAACCTCCCCTAAAATTTAGGGTTAGTGCGGGCCAAAATTATGTTGATACTGATCAGGATTTTTTTATTACTAAAAACCCGTCCGACATTAACGGCCTGCACTAACCCTAAATTTTAAGAGGGGTTATTTTGACCTGGGTCAAAATAGAATTTCCCAAAAAAAAAATCCAACAAATGCAAGGCCCAATAGAGCAAGATCTACAAAACGCAAGACTACAAAATACATGACCCAATGAAGTGCAACACCCAATGATGCCAGACCCGACAAAATGTAAGACCTGATAAGCAAGACCCAGCAACCCTAACAAAATAAGAACTGGCCCAATCCGATGAAGACCCAACAAAGTAAAACCCAATGAAGACTCAACGAAGTAAGATCCAACGAAGACCCAGTGAAGCAAGACCGGTGCAAAAAGTGTTAGTTTCGTTTAAAAAAAAAACTATACAAAAAAACGCTTATCACATTCCTAGTTCCAGATTTCTGATTCCAATGGAAAACCAGCGCAAAAAAAGGAAGTATTAGTTTACTTGAAAAAAAACAAAACTACGCAAAAATGCGAATTTTAAAAAGATTATCAAAAGATATCACGTTTATTAAAGATCGTCAATTGCGTCCAATCAAAAATGCAATTTACCGACGGCCAATAGAAACTTGGGAAATTAGTAAATGCCATTACACAGAGATTATGAAAACTGAGATAGTTAAAACGTAAAATGCAAGGCGAGAAGCTCTTAATCAAAAAACGTGGTATAGGTTGTTTGATTCCTATGGGTAATATAGGTAAAGACCGGCTCATAGTTGGGCATAATGTTGGTTTCGATCGTGCACGAATAAGAGAATATCATCACGACAGATCTTGTAACAGCTATATAGATACAATGTCTTTACATGTAACTGTAAGTGGACTTTGCACTCAACATCGCACTTCTTGGATCAAGTATAATAAGGCGATTAAAGAAAGCAAAGATTTTCAATCTATTCATGATGCTAGTTCGATAAACAACCTTCGAAATATCTATAGATTTTATTGTCAGGGAGAATTAGACAAATGTTTGAGAAATTATTTTATTAATAGTTCTTTAGATCAAATAGTAAAACCCGAAGTTTTTCAAAAGCTGGTAGCATATCGTGCTGACGGTGTATTCACAACACATAAAGTGCTCAAAAAACTATTTCCACGATTTCTAAAAATTTATCCACACCCTATATCATTTGCCGGTATAATTAGTATGAATAATAAATTCATGACAACACCAAAGGACTGGGATTATTATATTGAGAAAATAAAATTGATACGTCAAGAAGAAAGTAAACCCATTGAAAAAAGCTTACAAAGGCCTGCATTTATAACATTAAAATCATATAGTGATGATTCGCAATCAATAATTAATAATCCATGGTTAAGGCAATTAGATTGGTCAACACCACCGCGGGTCAAAAAGCTTAAAGGATATCAACAATGGTATCGGAATATTTACAATACTAAGACGAGAAGCCTAAAAAGTATATCAAGGCCCAGAACTTCGTCCATTTCATTAAGATTGAAATGGCAAGGCTTTCCATTATATTATTTTAAAAAACACAGGCGGATATATCGAAGACCGAAAAGTAACGAGAAATACCAGGCAAAAGCAAAACCCTTTAGATTCGATGAAATGGATGATAATAAAGAAGCATCTGTAATTGGGCAATCTCGAAATTATCCTTCGCGATTATCAAAATATTTGGAATTATCGGAAAAAGGGTCATTACATTTATTAACTGAGAATGATTTCAATGTGATTTTGCATTGTTTATTTGCACCATATTGGAAGCCAAAGAATGTTTTATATTGGTTGAATCGAATATATAATGATATCAGGGAGAATGGATTGCGCTTGAATAAATATACATATGAAACAATATTAAATTTATACGTTATCATCGGAAATGTTTCCAAAGCAGAATCAATATTTTCTGAAATAGTCAAAGAAATTGGTATTCCAACGCGTAAGACGTATAACATATTGCTTCATATGTATGCACGCGTTGGAAACATTCAAAGATGTTTAGAATTGGTTCAAGAAATGAAAATGAATCTGATTATGCCGAATTTAACAACCTACAACACTCACATTTTGTCTTACGTACGTAACCTCAACATTACTGGTGCGCATTTTATATTACAAGAAATGGAACAACAAGGTGTGAAGCCAGACGTTATAACGTTCAATGTCATGATCAATGGTTTTCTAAATTTTCATGATTTCAAAGGAGCAGAACAATGTTTTGATATTATGCTTGGTATGGGAATAGCACCAAATATCATTACGTTTAATACTATAATGTCAGGCTATTTGGATGTTGGAGATTTTCAATCTGTAGAAGATATCTATGACAAAATGCTCGAACTGAAAATACAACCTGGTTTGGATACTTACCATATTCTAGCGACTGCCTTCGTGCGAATGGGAAAAACAGAGCAAGTGTTATTAATAATTGATCAAATAATTGCTAACGGTTGGCATGTTCTGAGGACGTATAACATACTAATTAACATGTACGTCAAAATGAATGACTTAGGGATGGCGTATAAAGTATACGATCGTCTATTATCGTCGGGTCTTCAACCGAACGTTGTGACATTTAATACTTTCATCACTGGCCACATAAATCAGCGAAATTTAGATGAAGCGTTGAAATGTTATGATAAAATGTTAAAACGGGGGATTTCACCAAACATGAATGTTTTTAATAATCTTTTGAGAGGTTATTTGCATGCTTATGGGATGACATCCTCAAGAAAAATATTTGAACAAATGGCCAAACATCATTTGGTTCCTGATCAAGTTACTTACAATATTCTTATTCAGTATATCTATGAACAAGATGATGTTGAAATTTTCGAAAAAGCAATCGAGCAATATGTCGAGATGCTTGGAAATGGTCTTCATCCTTCAAATCGGACTTTCAACATATTATTAAATCTTGCAATTAAGAAAGATATTAATCATAATAGATTTTATTCTCATCAACATCACAAAAAATCAGATCCAATACAAAATTGCGACAAATCGGCCGTTGAACTAGTTTTGAAAGATATGATGTCAAAATACGTTGTTTTGGATGTAGTTACTTATTCAATACTCATGAAAGGATTCGTTCATTATCAACACATGCAAGGGGCAGAAGAATTGTTTCGCAAAATGCAAGAGAATGGAATTCGTCCAAACCAATATATCTTTGACATTATGATCGACGGGTATGCAAAAATTCCAGACATGAATAAAGCGCAGCGAGCGATAACGAGAATGTTAAATTCAGGATTCCAAAAGAATATCAAAGTTTATAACTCGATGATAAATGGATACGCTGCAGCAGGTGATATCGGTGCAGCGCATAAAGAATTTGATGAAATGAAAAAAGCGGGACATACGCCAGACAAAGTTAGTTACACATCTTTGGTGGATATGTTTGCCAACAACAAAGACGTGAAACATGCGCAGCAAGCATTCGACTTCATGCGTGCGCAAGGAATACAGGTCGATTTAATAAGTTTTACGGCACTAATGAAAGCTTACGCAAAAGTTGGAAATGTGAAAGGCGCATATTCAGTTTTCGAAGCAATGGTTAATGCAGGTTACAAGCCAGATTCGGTGGCAACCTTAACTTTACTTAGTGCACGTAAGAACATATAAAGCCTCCTATATATTCTTATGTGTATTAAGTTAAGGTTGCCACTGAATCTGGCCTGCAACCTACGTAAATTATTGCTTCATAAACTATTGCTTGGATCCGATGGATATATCAGACTATTTTTTTTAAAATCCACCAGACCATTGTATCTGGTCAAAATTATCTATTAAAACCTGTCAAGATAATTAATTTATTTAGAAAATAAAACTTACATGAAGTTATTACTTTAATATTATTAACCAATATCACTGGCACTTTTAGTTGGGAAACTTTGTAAATTCTACATAATTATAATAGGAGTGGTTGAAAGCTGAGCTGCGAGCTAATAAAACCGCTATGTAGATCACTTAAGGGTGAAATTCGCATCTAACGTTACCTATGATTTTTATTATCGTTATGCAAAAGCGGATTTCACTCTGACGTGATCTACATAGCGGGTTTTACTGGCTACATCTCAGATTTCACCTTCTCCGAAGCGTAGCGATGACTCTTGCGTCCGGTAAAAGTGAATATATGATCATGAAATGTTAGTGGAAAGAGCAAAGTTTTAGGTCCCGAGGATAAATCGCAGTAGCTGCCGCAACAAAATTGTCGACGATCAAAAAATTTGACCGGAATTACTCAAAATTTACTAATGAAATCACAGCCGCCCATTACAGCTGTTCTCATAAAGTTTGGAACATCTGGTGAAAAATTGACCGAATGATTGTTTGGCTGATTCGATAAGTTTGTGATTTGGCAGTGATAAACTTTTGATTTGAGTAATTAGTATATAAACCGATATTTTTAATTCATAGATAATATTTTCTTGAACTATAAAACAATGTCAACACATTTAAAATTAGGTTTTCACTTAAATACATGTCCAGTATGTTTGGTTGTTTAGTCTATGGTGAAGATTGTTTTTGCCAACCAATGGATCTTAGTAAAAAACATAAAAAAGGTTCTGAATATAGGATTAGCTTTCATAATAAATACATTACACGAGCCGGCTAATAAAAAAAAAGTTCGATACTGTCAAGAATTTATAACTCGAGTTGTAATTTCAAACAACCAAAATTTTTTATTATCATTTGCCAAAGCTGTGTTGAGAATTATAATCAACGAAATAAAGGTAAAATTTTTATTTTATATTATTTTATTTAAAAGGTTTAATATATAATTATATAATAATTATTGTTATAAAATATAGGTCAATAAGAAAACCAGCATGAATCAGACAAAAATATTGAAATGGTAGATTTGATTGTTAAAGAACCTTTCATCTGTTTATTTGTAATAAATATCTTAAAAGTGTTTAATTTGTTTGAAGTAATCATAATTGAATCTAAATTATTTGATTTGTCTAAAGCAATGACAACTGAATTTAATGCAATATTTAACTTGGTTGAAGCAACAGTGACTCAATCAAAAATTATTATATTAAAAAAATCAACTAAAAGTAAAATATATTATTTTTTTAAAAAAGTTTTTGTATTTAGAAAATAATTTTTATTTAAGTTATATGAATACAGAAATTATTATAAGTTTTTTTATATATGAGATTACAATTAGTTACACATATATTTTTGATATTTAAGTAGTTTGATTATATATTACTATACAGATTCTATATTAGATATTATATTTGTAAGTTAACTATGAGTTTTGTTTATTTAAACCTTCTATATATATAGCTTATCTTTTTTTTTAATATGAAGATGATCTCTTTGGTTCTGACTTTTTATTAATACTTATGTCAAATACATGTTTATATAGATATATTTATATTAAACTATCAGATAAGTATACAACTGGTTACATTTGTAACTGTTTTATATTACTTATTTAAAAAGTCTGTCTAAAGGTTTCTCATCAGTTATCATATCTAATACTCTTACTTAGGTGTTTGATTTAAACCCTTTAATCTAATCCTGATATTAACTTTATCAGATCAATTGATTCAGATCTTTTTGTCTTCAATTATAGAACTATAATCCTTAAATTATTTTTATTTTTGAAGTAAATCTATCAAAGTGATTCATATTTTTTTTTTACTGCTAACCTGGTTTGATGTTATGGCTAAAACCAACATTTGCAGTTAAAGTTATTTATTAAATTAATATTACACTTATAAAGTTTACCCAAACTTTGATATTCATCTTTTCTGACATCTTTATTATTTCTTACTAACTGCTACTTAGAACTAATAGGATTTCTCAGATTATAAATCCAAATAATCTGATATAGTATACTTATATATTCTTTTTTTTTGACAATTCTGGTAGCCTAGTTGATACATATGTTTTCTTCATATACCTGTTGTCTGGTTTATTCATAATTCTTTTAAGAATGTTTCATAGCCTTTCATCAGTTTGACAATACTATTGAAAATACCACAATGTAAAAAAGTAGCAAAAGTTATTCAAGGCAAAAAAGACAAAAAGAATAAAGAAAACAAACTGAAAAGAAAAGAAAACAATAAACAAATTCAAGAACAACTAGACAATATAACAGTAAAAAACCAAGAAATAGTAGCTAATCAAGCAATAAATAAAATCAATAAATGGGTCTTACTATTTCAAAAACATAATACTCTTTTAGCTGTCATTAACAATATCATAGACTAAGTGAGGTTTTTGACTCTGTTTAGCAAAGTATAGGTTGTAAGTAAAGCAGCCTAAGTTTTAGTTTTATTAGAAGTAATATATTACTACATATAATTATTGATGTACTATATATATTAAAATTCAATAAAGAAACTGGGGCAAGACCTTGTTTTTAAAAAAATAAAATAAAATAAAATAGTATTGAAAGTTTGTATTACCTTTTTACTTAGAATTTCCAAATAGGTTTATGTCTTTTTAGTTTTTTAGTCTTTTACACTCAATGGTCTTATTATGATATAGTTTAATTTGTATTACAAAATATCTTTTAAATTAAATCTATTTAAAATTTTGATGTTTATATTTTTAAAATTATTTTATTATTAACAAAAGTCTTACTAACTTTTTATATCTTATATACAGTTAATCTAGTTTTTTTATATTTATAAATTTATTAAGATTTTAGTATTTATTTTTCTATTATATACTGTAAGTATAAAATAACACTCACAAACATCAATTTAAAAATTAAATTTTCTAAAAAAATATATATAATTTTATATTAATACTTATATGTTTTAAATTAATATACATATTAATATAAATAGTAATTATTTGCAATTTATATTTATAATAAATATATTAATAAAAGTGTAATAATTTAGTAAAATGAACAGATTGTTAATCCTCAAATGGCAGATTTAGAGTTCAAATTTTAGTGTCAGTAAAAATTTGCAATTTTTTTATATTATAGTTAACTGTTTTCTAAAATTAGTTAAGATTAGATATTTGTTATTTGTATTATACTAACATAACTGAAAGGTCACATAGTATTTATACAACTTTATATAAAGGAACACAAACTGGTACTGAATGGTGTGAATCTATAATAAGTTCTCATAGTCATATAAATTACAAAAACCAAAAAAATAAAAGTTTACTTGAAAAACCTAAATAAAAAAATAATTTGAACTTTTAATAATACTATTATAAAAACTAAATCTATAAAATAAAGCTAGAACCTGTGAAGCTAAATGAAGATATAACCTTTGAGAAAAGGCTATTGTAACTAGCCAGACTATCAAAATTCATTTCAAAAAAAAAGATTATATGTCAAAAAACAAATAAATCAGAGATATAATTGTATCTATCTTTTTGAACTATTTGGACTAAAAGCTTGATAAAACTTAAATTAAATACCAAAGTAGTAAAGATATATTGTAAAATAAGTATTAGGATTGAGATGAACTTTACAAAGACATAGCAGTTTAATGATATGCCTTAATCACAAGTATTAGTTTCAGTTATAGCATTACTAGACCAAATGTAAGAATAGAATAAAGAAGATTCTAAAAGGTTTAATACAAGGTCAAAGGTTTTTTATACAAGTAAACTGCTTTAAAGACTTAGTAATTATAGTATATTTTTATTGATATTAACTAGGGTCATTAATAGGTATAGGTAAACAGATGAATATAAGAAATAAAGTGTTTAAATAAGAAACTTACAAGCAGATTTTAAGTATAACAATTAATATAAAACCTTTAGATGAACTACTTAAATTAGACAATAACTAAAGTTGTATAAATGGCTAATTGTATACTCTTTTCATAAATGCCTTCTGTAGTTATAATACAACTATTGGCTGAATATATTATTAATAAAATTCTAAGTTACAAATACTCATCTTAATATTTAAAAAAAAATTTTATTATAATAGATAAATTATTTTATTTATATTTTATAAAATTTTAATAAAAATTAGTTGTAATTTAAAAAAGTTTTATAATATATTTTAATTTTATATAAAAATTTTAAAATACTATATAAAAATAATCTATATACTTTTTATTTTTAATATATTAACTATATTATTTTTTTATAGTTCAGTTTTTTTAAAAAGTTTGATTTAGATAATTGTCAGAAAGAGTTTTTCTAGTTTTGCTACTTATATAAATTTTTAAAAATTAAATATAAAATTTTATTATAAAAATTTTTTTATAGTTTTTGAAAATTAATTATATATTTTTTTTTAGAAATATGATAACATAGTAAAGTAAATAAATTGTCAGTTTTCTAAATAACAGATTGTAAGTTCAAAATCTGCTAAAAATAAAATTTAAAAAAATATATCTGTATTATAGTAATGGTATTCTGTTGATCAGTTAAAATAAAATACCTGTAACTACAGTTGCACTAGCATAATTAACAAATTAAAGAGCATTTGTGTATTATACAAAGTAATAAAACTAATATTAGATAGTCAAACTCAAAATAAGTTTTTGTGATCATGTAATTTATAAAACTAATAAAACCAAAGCCTATTTGAAAAGATTTAAATAAAGAAATAATACAAATCTTTAACAATATTACTATAAAAACTAAATCTAATAAATGAATAGAGGGTGTGATAACTTAGTGAAGTGAATAAGTTGTCAACCCTCCAAGTAGTAGGTTGTGAGTTCAAAACCTACTGATTAGTTGGAATAGGATATCTGTAACTATGGTCACACCAGCATGACTGACAGGTTATGAGATATCATGTAACCTTGGTTACACAGAGGAATGCAAACCAGTACTAGGCAGTGCAAACCTAAAATAAGTTCTTGTGGCTTTGTAAATCCATAGAACTGGAAAACTGGAGCCCACTTGGAAAGACCTGAGTAGAGAAGTAACACAGATCTTCAATGGTACTACTGTAAAGGCTAGACCTAGAAAACAGATATCAATATGAAGAAGCCAGATGGGCAAAAACCTCAGGTAAGAGGTACCACCAATCAGGCTGCTAGAACTGAACTAGAGAAAAAGAATATCAGGCCAGCTCGATATACCAAGGACAGGTTACAGTCCTTCTGGGCTATCTGGATTGGGAGTCTGGAGTCAAAGCAGAGGTATACTATAAGTATTAGGGATATGCTGTGAAGTAGGTACTGGGATTTGAGTGAACTCTACAAGGACTAGCCTTGTTAATGTTCTGTAGAGTGGATAGGTAGTTAACAAGAGGGTACCTCGGAACCTTACAGTCAGGTGACATATTCTGAAATGTTTAACAGCTTGACAAATGTACAAAAGGGGAAGCTAAATATTGGGTTAGATGGCACTTAGTTGTACAAGAACTAGGTATTACTTATCTGGATGTAGTATAAGGATCAAAGTGTTTAAATAGGTACCCTCCTAGTAGGTTATAGGCATGGCAGCTAGTGTAGAACCCTTGGGTGGACTACTTAAATAGGTAACCAAAAGTTACATATGTGGCTAGTTGCACACTTACCTTGTACTAGTCACATGTAATGCATTGACCAAAAACACAAATAAAGGTGATAGCAACCGATAACATCAGTTTTAAAAAAAAAAAATAAAAAAAAAATAAAAAATAAATGAATACTAATATAGAAGAATCAAGCAGACAAAAACTTTTAGATAAAAAATATTATCAACCAGACTGCTAGAAGTTTTAAACCAAAAGAAAAAAATATCAAACCAGACTCAGTATATTAAAAACAAATTATAGTTCTACTGAATTAACTAAATTATAAATTAGATAACAAAACAGTAATATATTATTAGTACTAGAAATATGCTGTAAAGTTAGTACTAAGGTCTAAATAAATACTGCAAGAGAAAGTTTTGTTAATATTTTATAAAATAAATAAATTAGTTAACAAAAGAGTTTCTGAAGTCTTATAGTTAAGTAATATAATCTGAAATATATAACAGCTTAACAGATATACAGAAAAAAAAGTTAGATGTTAAATTAGATAACATCTAAATGTATAAGAACTAGTATACTATCTGTCAAATATAGTATAAAGATTAGAGTGTTTGTTAGATAATCTTATAACAGATTACAGATATGACAACTAATATAAAACTTGCAGATGAACTACTTAAATAGATAACCAAAAGCTATATGAGTAACTAGTTGCATATTCACTTTGTACAAGTTTATATAATCATAATTAAAAATACAATAAAGGCAATAGCTGCTATTAATAACAGTCTTAGTAAAAACAAAAAAAAAAGCTGACTTATTTGTATAATCAAAAATAAAAAATAAAATATTTAGAAAAAATATAAAATATACTAATAGATTAGCATATTCTTTTTTTTAAAAAAAAAATATTAAGGAAAGTACTTGCAACCCAGGATTTTATTGATAGTACATTCAGCTAATAGTTGCATTATAACCACAAGAGGCAACTATGGAAAGAGTGTACAACTAGCCACTTGTATAACTTTAGTCATTGTCTAATTTAAGTAGTCCACCCGAAGGTTCTATACTAGCTGCCATACCTAGAACCTGCTTGTAAGTTCTCTATTTAACCATTCTATTTTCATATCCATTTACCTACTTACACCTATCAAGATGCTCCAGTCAATACCAGTACAAATATGCCATGATCACTAAGTCTTTAAGACAGTTCATTTATATAGGGAACCTTTAACCTTGTACTAAACCTTCCAGAATCTTCTGTATCTTATTCTTACAGCTGACCTGATATTACTATGGCCAAGACCAATACTGGCAGTCAGGATGTACTATTTAACTGCTATGCTCTTGTAGAGTTCATCTCAACCCTAGTACTGACTTCACAACATATCTCTACTACTTTGGTATTCAATTCAAGTTCTACCAAGCTTCAAAACCAAATAGCCTGAAAAGGCAGATCATAACTATACACCTCTGATTTACATGTTTGCTAGCATGTAACCTTTTTCTCTGAAATCCAGAAATTCTGGCAACCTGGTTGGTTTTATTTGGCCCCTTCTCAAAAGCTGACTCTTTGTCTGGTTTCACAAGTTCTAGCTCCATTTCATAGGTCTAGTCTTTACAATAGTACTGTCAAAAGTTTAGGTTATCTCTCTACTTGGGTCTTCCAAATAGGCTTCTGTTTTTCTATTTGGTTCTTATGATTTACACAGCCTAAGGAATTATTTTGAGTTCATACTGTTTGATACCGGTTTGTGTTTTTTCATACAATGTTGCACAAATGCTTAGACCTTCTAGTCATGCTAGTATAACATGGGTTACAGATGTCTTATCTCAACCAATTACAGAAGACAGTTAACCATAACACAGAAAGAATTGCAAATTTTTTGTTGTCACTGGGATTTGAACTCTAGACCTGCCACTTGGGGGTTGACAACCTATTCACTTCACTAGGTCACCACACCCCTAGATTAGCATATTCTTTTTTTTATTTTTTTTTAAATGTTAAGGTAAGTACATATAACCTAGGATTTTACTGATAGTATAAGTTGGCCAGCATCTGTACATGTACAGACACAGAGGCAATTACAGAAAGAG